CGGCCCTGCTCACCATCCGCGTGCTCGACTCCAACGATAATGTGCCCGCCTTCGACCAGCCCGTGTACACCGTGTCGCTGCCCGAGAACTCGCCGCCCGGCACGCTGGTGCTGCAGCTGAACGCCAGCGACCCCGACGAGGGCGCCAACGGCGAGGTGGTGTACGCCTTCAGCAGCCACGCGTCGGCCCGCGCGCGCGAGCTCTTCGGGCTGTCGCCGCGCACCGGGCGGCTGGAGGTGAGCGGGGAGCTGGACTACGAGGAGAGCCCACTGCAGCAGGTGTACGTGCAGGCCAAGGACCTGGGCCCCAACGCCGTGCCCGCGCACTGCAAGGTGCTGGTGCGCGTGCTGGACGCCAACGACAACGCGCCCGAGATCAGCTTCAGCACGGTGAAGGAGGCGGTGAGCGAGGGCGCGGCGCCGGGCACCGTGGTGGCCCTGTTCAGCGTGGCCGACCGCGACGCGGACGAGAACGGGCGCGTGCGCTGCGAGCTGCTGGGCGACGCGCCCTTCCTGCTCAAGCCCTCCTTCCAGAACTACTACACGCTGGTGACCGCCGCGCCGCTCGACCGCGAGGCGGGCGACGCCTACACGCTCACCGTGGTGGCGCGCGACGGCGGCGCGCCCGCGCTGGCCACCAGCCGCTCCATCCGCGTGCGCGTGGCCGACGTGAACGACAACGCGCCGCGCTTCAGCCAGCCGCTCTACGACGTGCACGTGACGGAGAACAACGTGCCCGGCGCCTACATCTACGCCGTGAGCGCCACGGACCGCGACGAGGGCGCCAACGCGCGCCTGGCCTACGCCATCCTGGAGAGCCAGATCCAGGGCATGAGCGTGGCCACCTACGTGTCGGTGAACGCCGAGAACGGCTACCTGTACGCGCTGCGCTCCTTCGACTACGAGCAGCTCAAGGCCTTCAGCTTCCAGGTGGAGGCGCGCGACGCGGGCAGCCCGCAGGCGCTGGCGGGCAACGCCACGGTGCGCATCCTGGTGGTGGACCAGAACGACAACGCGCCCGCCATCGTGGCGCCGCTGCCGGGCCGCA